CGTACCCCCATGAGTTAGGGTAATGAATCCCCTATCCTTGGCTAATGAAAGATGTGTACACGTGGGTAATATGTTATGATGTGATGTGAATTGGAGACGTGACAAATAATTACTTTATGTTCATACTCTAACCATACCAACTGTTATTATTATATATGTGCATAGTGGTGAGCACGTTTGTCATCTAGTGCTCATCCCCACCTGCTCTTTACCGATGCAGGTCAGTGACAGCCGGGTGACAAGGATGAGACGAGTGGGGTCGATTGATTCTTTACGCATTTTTATATCTTCCGCTGAACTCAATAAGTTTTGATGCACGTCGTGTTTGTGCAAATTATCATTCGTACTTGTGTGATGGATTTGGAGACTTATGAATTGTTGCCTATTTGAATTTGATGTATGAGTTGTTATTGGTTAATGAAAACCGATTACGAAAACCGGGTAATGAATCCCCGTGAGCCCAGATAAGACTTGGGGTATGAGAAATGTTAGTTAACACCCACTAAGTTTTCGAAAATGATTTTGAAAATTTTATTCTGGTTTTTGGAAAATTTGAAATTTCTGTAAAATCAAAGTGGGGTGTTACATTTTTAATAGGTGGATCTAGATTTAGGTAACTATGAGAGGTTTTGGGATGTGAGGCTAGCAAGAGACAACAATATTACTACATGAAAGATATATCAGGTACTTCACCATATTCCTATTGAACACATAATATTGTATGTACTTTAATTTCCGAGCTACTTATTTGGTGGTTTCTTTGTTAGTCTGTTCTTGAGAAGGAACAAAGATGGGATTATCTTGGGAAGACCTTACGGTTGATTCAAAACTTATAGAAAAGTGTCCTCCTTTGTAAGAACTACGGGGCATTTTTTTATTTTAGTTTTTTACTTTTGTTTATACTTTATACATGTGGTCCTGCACATTACTAATGCTATTAAGAATTGGATTGAATCTGTGTCTGTAATTCTCGTGGATGGAAAGAATGTCTTGCAGATGTTTGTGTTATTGAACTTGGAGGGATTGTTGGTAAGTTTTTCTTTGACTTTTGAATGAGAAGGTAAATGTTGCTTCCGAGGGAATTGATTCAACTGGAAATGTTGAGGGAGACTATGTTTAGATCACTGAACATGTGCTGGAGAACTTAGAAATGACTGGCCAATCAGAAGAAAATGACGATGCGTTTTATGTGGATGATATGAGTAGTGAACAGAGCTGATCGGTTTGATCTTTGTCCATGTCCAGTGTGGCTTCTGTGACTACTGACTTCGCCATGCAACATGTGCTTCTTCAGATTGGTTTACGACTCCTGGCTCTTGGTGGGATGCAGATTCGTGGCTCCACAGGTATTCATTGGTTTACTCTAAATTCAATTGGCTAATGATAATGAAGTTAAATAGGAGTAGTAAGTCATGTATAAGATCTGTTAGAATTAATATCAAATTGTGTCGCTAAAAAAACATGAAAAAGTTAAAGGAAAAATAATGCAATATAAGGAAATATATATGAACAAATACCATTTTTTTTAAAAAAGGGACAGTGCCGGCTTGAGGGGTGTATCGTGGTTGCGTTTGGGCTTCATCCTATCCTCCCCATATATAAAGTCGAAGTAGAACTATGAACCAAAGCGGTAGAAGATGAGGAAGCAGCATCCTCTACTTCCTTTTGTTCATGTCTCAAGTTGTTTCATCCACTTTTAGAGTGGAGGAAGTAAATATGAACATATACAAAATTACGACGCTTAGTTTGTAAACTAGATCAGTTAATGTGTATTAGTGTGTATTGAAGCTTTTGTATCTGGATTACTTTACATTTTGAATCGCAAAAGTTAAACCTTTTGGTATGGTTTGTTATTTGTGTGCGTATAGATGTTTCATTTTCTTTGCTCGAGTCTCAATTGTTTAATTGCACACCACTGACAATTCAAACATTATTGTTTTGTGTATGTTGGACTTTTTCTGCTGAACCAACCACCTAATGATTCTTTATCTCTGGTATATTTGTTCTGGTTCTAGGTGGGTGATGAAATACCATGCTTAATTTAAGATGAGTGCAAAAAGTGATTTGTCGTAAACACATTTTTGGGTATGTTTTTCTACTCGAACTGGACGTTCATGATTCTA